TCTCGCAGGCCAAGCACAAAGAGCAAGGTCTTGGGCCTCCTTCCGACCAATCCATCGCTGGGGCACTTTTTCATTTAAAAAAGCTCGGACCATCAGCTGCCAATGGGGCGGTGCACCATCTTGTTGAAAAATGAAGAAATTGCGAATCTGCTTGCAGTGGAGTGAAGAGCCAGTTTTGGAGCATATCGAGATAGGTTTTGTCCTATAATGGTGTTTCCTTCAAAGAAAAAGGGACCATAAACCTTGTCCTGAGACACAGCACAGAAGACGTTCACCTTAGGGGAATCTCTTTCATGCTCAACTGTTTCATGTGGGTGCTCTGTTCCCCAAATACGCACATTGTGACGATTGACTGTGCCGCTCAAGTGAAAAGTCGCTTCATTACTAAAAATTAAACGTGAAATGAAGATTTCGTCTTCCAGCATCTCCAGCATCAAATCGCAAAATTCCACCCGCTTCCTTTTGTCGTCATTGGTAAGTGCCTGAACGAGCTGCAGTCTGTATGGTTTCAAATGTAGACGTACTGTTCGCACACACCAGACAGTGGCTTGAGGGATCGCAAGCTCACGGCTAGCTCGATTTGCTTAACTTCCGCTGGCTCCTCTCAAACGCAGCACGGATTCTCGCCACTTGTTCCTCCGAGACTCGTGGTCGTCCTGGACTTTTTCCTTTACACAGACACCCACTCTGGAAACTGTCGAAACCACCGTCGAATGTTCTTAGGACAGGGCAGATTAATGCCGAATCACCTTTGAAAAGCACGCTGCACCGTGACAACCGAATTTGTTTTCGCGAACTCGAGAACGCAGAACACCTTTTGCTCAGGACTCGCCATTCCGAGGGTAAAAGAACAACTGAACGTTGCCGGAAGAACGACGCGACTTAAGCGTCCCTGTGGCAGCCATTCACAACTTAGATAACTCCTCTTTCAAATGGTCACTGACTCATTCCATGACGATGCTTAAGAACTGAAGCAATGCGTCATGAAATCGGTTCTTTCTTTTTGAATAACCCTGTATTTTAAAGGATAATGTTAATTTATTTTAACGAAAACTGAAAGACTTTCTTATCTTGAAAACTTTCTATTCTATTGATGAATATATGACAAATACGTAATTGTATTATATTCCTATTGTATCTAGGTTGTGTCTACTTGGACTTGGTTGCATATCGCAACTACTTATAATTATTATGACGAGCTCAATAAACGGGCAACGGATCTGTGAAGCTATGTATGTATGTATATATGATATTTGTCAGAGTTCTGCAATTATTGTATTGCTTTTCATATATTATTAAATGCAATCTTAATCGTGTTAACAAGAGTGTGTATCAGATTCTCAAGTTTCATTATTCTACTGAAACATGATTTATAACACATTAATGTAACTGAAAAGCTATGTTTTGTGTAGCTTTCAAGTATAAGTTGTAAGCAAAGTTATGAAGTTGAATACAAGTATCTCTGATGGAAACAGAATTTTCTTTCAAGTTTACCCACCATCAGCTTTCCTAAGCACAAGTATTCTATATATGTTATAGTTCAAATATCCATTGCATTTCAGTAAGGGGGTGTTGAATTGATGTAAATGAAATGTTCTTATTTTACAGGCACTGGTGAGAAACTTTCTTCCGATAAATAATGTTGCAACCTGATATCTTGTACTGCAGAGGTTCTTACTCCGTTGTGTGTTTTCTGTTTTTGAACTGAGTTTGATATCATTTAACTCATTCTCCTCCAGATGGTTTTGAGCGAAGTGATGTTATACTCAGTTCGAAAACAGAAAACACACAGTGGAGTAAGAACCTCTGCAGTACAAGATATCAGGTTGCAACATTATTTATCTGGAGAAAGTTTCCCACCAGTGCCTGTAAAATATGGACATTTCATTTACATCGATTATTAATTCTAGCTATACGTGTGAACCAGTGATTTTTTGGGAGGGAGCAGTAAAAAAATGCTGGTGGTATAATAGCGTACTTTCTTACCGACAGCGCAGGTGGTATGATAGCATACCTTCTTACCGACCGAGCCCTCGGCACTGGCGGCAGCCATTTTTTTATCAAGAGAGTGTCCGCCGGCCACCGCGGCAGCAGTGGCTGTGTTGCCCGCCAATAGCATTGAGTTGCATACCCCTGGTTGCTATGCTCTCATAGAATTTACTGTGCTGTAACCTAGTAATGGACTTCTGGTTAAATGACCCCGATTGTCCGCGTACCTGCCACAGGCAATTAACGTGGGCCAATATTGTGGAGACAGAAGGAACGACCGTTGCTAGACAACGATCAATAAACACGTTCGCGTCAACAGATACACGAACGCAACAACGAGGAATTGCAGGAGGCTGTGTTTTCTGTGGTGTCCGTCCAGATGCTATATAAGAATAGGTATTACGTAGCAATGTCATTTTGAAGACAGCGAAACAAGACATAGTGAACTCGTGGATAAGATCGTAATTTGGTGGCCATGGCACGTAAGTTGCAAGACTTATTCGAGATGAAGTATGTAAAAATACTCGAAGAAAATGTTACTGGAGCTGTGGGCTTAGAGAAGTCCAGCACACCTAGGACGTCAGAGTCAAATACAAGATCCGACTGGGACAACGTACGGGTACTAGATCTTCTCCAGGAACAGCTGCAGGTTATACAGGATCAAGTTAGTTAACTGGAATAAGCAAGTACAGTTAAACTATGGAAAAAGTTGATGGAAAGAGAGAAGCAGAAGAAGAAAAATCCTGGGGAATATTTAGGTCTTGTCAAAGAAGTGCATTCTTCAGTGGTAAGTGACACTATAAACGCTAGGTTTGCTAATGCTGCATTAGAGGCGGAGGATGTGAATTATCCGACGAATTTGCATCACAGTGTGAGTGCTAAGCAGTCAGGAGGCGCTCAACTTGCGGCTCCGGCAGGTCGTTGTGCTCCACCCACAGCCACCACCGGTGTAAAACACAGTAAAAGCAAAAGAACTCGAGAAGTTGAACAAACAGCAGGGCAAGAAGCGCAAGCCAAACAGGCGAAACTCAATTGGCCGTCAGCTGGTGATAAGGTGGGCGCTGGATTTGGGAATGCTGCATTAGGGGCGGGGGATGGGAATCTTCTGACGAACCTGCATCAAAATATGAGTCCTAAGCAGTCAGGAATTGCTCAAATTGAGGCTCCAGCGGGTTCTTATGCACCACCAACTGCTGTTGCCCCAACCAACACCGGCACAGAGAACACTAAAAACAAAAGCACTCGAAAAGCTGAACAAATAGCACGGAAAGAAGCGCAAGCCAAGCGGCCGAAAGCCATTTTGCCGTCAGATTTTCCGATGAACTTGCTTCATAATATGAGTGCTAAGCAGTCAGGAATTACTCAACTTGCGGCTCCGGCAGGTCCTTTTGCTGCACCCACAGCCACTGCTGGTGTAAAACACACTAGAAAAAAAAGAACTCGAGAAGTTGAACAAATAGCAGGGCAAGACGCGCAAGCCAAACGGGCTAAACTTAATTGGCCGTCAGCTGGTGGTAAGGTAGGCGCTGGATTTTGGAATGCTGCATTAGGGGCGGAGGATGTGAATTTTCCGATGAACTCGCATCGAAATATGAGTCCTAAGCAGTCTGGAGGCGCTCATCACACGGCTCCGGCAGGTCCTTGTGCGCCACCCACAGCCACAGTCGGTGTAAAATACACTAAAAACAAAACTACTCGAGAAGTTGAACAAACAGAAGGGCCAAATGTGCAAGAGAAGCGACCGAAAGCCAATTCACCGTCAGCTGGTGGTAAGGAAAAGAACGTTGTTGTGTCCCCACCCTGCAGTTTGATTCAGAGGAGGATGGCAATGCCAATCCAATGTCATACGAGAAGAAGAGGCAACTCAGTGTTAATATTAGCAAATTGCCACTTGACAAGCTAAGACGTGTAGTGCACATCCTTCAGTCTCAAGAATCTCCTTTGGGGGATTCTGTTCAGGATTATATTGAGATTGACATAGGAACTCTGAAGCCGTCTACTTTACGAGAACTGGAGTCGTTTGTTGCATCCTGTCTCAGTAAGAAACCACGAAAGTCCTACAAGAACATTTTATCAACATCAGAAGATGAGCTGATAGCTGAGGAGAAGCAGGAGTTGGAGAAGAGGACGCAGGGCATGACAGGACAGCATGAGTTGGCAAATAAACTGCTCAAGACAGAGGAGAGCAAGTCTGTGGATGTTGGTGTCATCTCCGACCTTTCAGTCTCCAGTTCCAGCAGTTCAGACAGAGACTCTAGTAGTTCCAGCAGTTCGGACAGAGGTTCAAGTAGTTCCAGCAGTTCGGACACAGACTCTAGTAGTTCCAGCAGTTCGGGCACAGACTCCTAGTTCCAGTTTTTCTGACAGTTACTCGAAAGCAAGTTGAACAAGAGAAGCAAGAAAAAGGGTCATCAGACTAAGACACCAGGAGTGGTGGCACCAGAGGTCCTTTTTCAACACTTACAACGCAATCAGCATGTCATATCATAAGCATTGTAGGTCACAAGCCTGCACAATTCGAGCAGCAGGCTCCAATCATATAGCCAGCAATGACAACGTAACAATTCCGCATGAAATATCATGCTCTACCCCCTCAGCCTGCCCCTCCAACCGTCACAGTTACTGCGGCTGCGGTCAAGAAAGTGGTTTCCCCTGTTCCGGCCCCCATACCAACAGAAGTGAACATTCCAGCTGCAGAGAAACCTGCTGAATCCATTTTGAAAGTGCCCATCTTATTTGAGGTAATAACTAGTATAGAGACCACAATCATAACAGCGGCACCTACCATAGCTTCCGCAATGACACTCCATTTCCAGTGGCAAACCTGATATCCCCTAAGCACATCAAGCAGGTTACAATCCCAGGAGATCCCCTGGTGCAGATGCTCCTGATCGTCACAACTGCCTCCAGCAAGGTCAGGATAGAAATACCCATAAAACCGAGCCTTGACAAGCCCTTGGCTGCCAACTTCAAAATAGCATTCCAGTAATGGCTTCGCACAAGCTGCCAATAATCCAGTCATGCAACCAACCAATACAGAACCAAGACTACTCCTAGGGAGGATTTATAATAACGGCATTCGTATGTCAACGGGTGTGCCATAAATTTTTTATCCACTCCTAGCAACCAGTCTTGCCTGTACAGCGATATGGTATCTGGTGGTGAAGACAGAAGAGAAGGCAGTGTTGCCAACTGTCATGCAACCCACAGCAAATAAAGCCTGATAATGATGGGATTTTGAACGACTCCATGCCAACAGAGAAGAAGGAAACTTCTCCAGACTCAGCCAACGTATCAGAATCTAACTTCGTATCAGCTTTCAAGAAAAATAATGTGAAGACTGGCAGCTACTGGTCTTTTCTTGCCCGAGGATCATCTCCACAGAACACATCTGGTCCCATTACTTTCTCTGTCAAGTCCACCGTTGACAACAGCTTCCAGGCCTTTAAGAAGCAGGCAGAGGAGAAGCTGGATCGGCAATGTGCACTCGAGAACCGCTACGGTGACCACCACCTGGAGGATGGCGTTGCACTCTCAGCTGAAGAGAAGGACCCAGCGCGTCAGGGAACACCTGCAGAAATCTGCCGGTGTCGTAGGTCACTTGGCTCACCGTGTGCACGTCGACTTACCCGAGCAACTTATCGGTAGAGAAACGCCCATTAATTCGCCGACGCGGTAAGGGAGCGGAAGATGAAGACGCCAGCTACTCTTGCCACGGAAGAACACACTTAATGTTGCTCGTTCCGAGCACCGGAAATCGAACCTGAGTCCTAGCCACTAAATCATACTGGATCTCAGAGAAATTCTATTGGATGGTATGGACTGGATTTATCTGGCTCAGAATAGGGACCAGTGGTGTTCCCGTATGAGCACAGTAATGAACTTCCGGGTTCCATAGAATGTTTGGAAGTTCTTCAGTAGCTGAGCGACTGTCGGCTTCTCGGGAGGGACTCATCTTCATGGAGTTAATTACTTAGTTCGTTGAAGGGTATGGCTTTAAAATTTACTAGTAACATTTCTATAGTTAGTTGAATTTACCTTCTGTTATAATATGCATGTTATTAGTAGCGTTTCTACAGTTGTTTCAATTTACTTTCTGCATTACTTTGTTGCTGTTGTTTAGATAGTTCTGGCCAACCTATTGGTCTTCGGCGAAATCAATCCTATTTTGTTAATTTAGTTCACATGTTTTTCTTCTTTAATCAGTCTCTGGTTGTGTTCTGCGTTGTTCATAATGCTTGTAAAGAATTATTAACATTTTTTTGCCGGTTTTGTATTATTAATGACGGCGATAAATTTTGTAGCTGTGCTTCTACGGTTAGTTTCTTGTGTATTTCTGTTATTCTTTCATTTTTGTTGATGCAATCCAGCAGACGTTGTTAACTAACATATGTTATTACTAAGGCTTCTGGAGAGCCGTCAGATAGTAAAATACGATCATGATCCCAGTGGGACTCGGAACCAAGAATCGATTTGCTGGCGACGACCGTGCCGCAGTTTAGCTGTCAGCACTCAGCACGGAAGCAGAGGGCATTGTTGAGATCCGTCACTAGGCAACGACTGATGAAGACACAGCACACTGAGAAGACTTAGTGCTTACTGTAGTGAACTGTAGAGTGTGAATTAGCGATAGCGCTATAGTTACGTGCAGTTAAGGTTTATAATTTTCCAATAAATTTAATTACAAATATAAATCCTGTCTATAGTTACTTCATACACTTGAAAATACTGCAGTTCCAACATACGTTTAAACAATAACATATGTACAGCAATTCCTTTGCAGTTTTTTATGTCTTCTGGTAAAATGACAAATTATGGCCCAATCATGGAAATGCAAACCCTTTTATTAATGCCCATTAAAGAATTTGAACCTGATGGGTTTCTTCTACAAGCTAACTCCGTGGAGCTGAGTCCTTCTTGAGACGCCGCCAGTCGCTCAGCTACTTCAGAACTTACCAACAATTATGGAACCCGTAGGTTCATTACCGTGTTCACAAGAGCCCGGTACTGGTCCTTTTCATAAACTAAAAACTAAAATCCGTAGCTTGAGTCCGCAAACGAATTATACCGACCGACCGACCGACCGCCACTTGTTGGTGAAGTTAGTGCCAACTTTAGCTGATAGAGGCGGTCGCGTGGTCGGCGCAACGGATCCCCATGGCCGTTAATTTCAGTTTCCTAGATCGGAGCTCCTCAATTATCCTCACGAGGCTGAGTGGACCCCGTTCCAGACCCAGTACACAGAAAATCTGGTAGCGCCGAGATTTGAATCTGAGACCTTTGGATCTGTAGCCAGGAACTTTGACCACTAGACCACAGAGGCGGTCCTGGTCCGTATCATAGGCCAAATAATTACCATGCTATCCTATCTGATGTCATTTTAATATTTTCCTCCCAACTGCGTCTAGGACCTCCCGCTGGTCTCTTTCCTTCTGGTTTCCCACCCAAATTTTGTGTGCATTCCTCTTCTCCCGTGCGTTTTTCACGCTTGATTCTCCTTGACCTCATCAATCTGTCCATATTTGGTGAAGGATTTTGTTATATATATTTGTTTTTCATCGCTATGAATGGGCTCACGTATAAAACATGCGTACGTTAGGACCTACGTAGTTTATGATGGCGTAGGTTTCATTCGAATGTCCTCTTCTGTGAAATGCATTTGCCGCCAAGAAGAAGAAGAAGAAGAAGAAGAGTGTCTTACGAGGTATATTGCTGATTATAATCTCAACATAACAAAATCGCCCTACATTCCATGCGGTCATTCATACAGCCACTGACCTGAACAGAAAAGTACAGGATGTTCCAGATTAAGGACATTCTTCTCATTCGTTTGTTTTATACAAGATAATCCATCGTAAAGAAGCACTGAAGCTCGTACAAAACTACAGATGACAGCTCCATGGAGTTACGTTAATCAATTTTCTGGGCATTACCAATCGTCTTCATTTTATTTAAAAGGTGTTCCTGACACTGGATTGTGTCTCCGTCCTCAGGTAGAAAGCCTGCAATATTTAGCCCAATTAATGGAGTTAGTTCATACCGTCAGAATTAGTTCGTTAATTACCTACTTAGTTATTTTTGTCGAGAATTAAATCATATTGTGATGCGACGACCGAAAGCCGGGATAGTGAAATCAGAGGAGGTGTCCATTGCTAGGCAACTGATCGGTAAACACATTTCTGCAGCAAACAAATACGCAAGCAGAAATCAAGTACTTTCGTTGCTACGGAACGGCGCTGTAAACATGTCTTCGCAACAATAGAGGAAGCGGTGTTTTCTGTGGAAAGGCAAGGCAAGAAAGGCAAGGTTAAAGGCTGGGCACTAACCCGTAAGCTGAGGGGGGGGGGGTTATGTTGGTTGGTCATGGCCTGTGTGGCCTTCTGGATCTGGCGTCATATCCCGGTGGGGTTTTTTTAAGAGAACAGATGAGAGGTTTCCAAGACTTGCTGAGACAAAACCCCCCCTCTCTGTTCATATTTCCGGGATGCAGTTCAATCTCAATTGCCTCCCTAATGATGTGATCCATATAGCGGGTCTTGGTGGCGAGGATGGAGGTATTCTGAAGCTGAATGCGGTGTCCCAGATCGATGCTGTGTTCAGCTACGGCCGACTTGTCCGGTTGTTCGAGACGGATGTGCCGCTGATGCTCCTTCAACCTCATGTCCACGGAGCGGCCTGTCTGCCCAATATAGACCTTCCTGCACTCGCATGGGATACTGTATACACCCGGTGTCCTTAGGCCCAGGCTGTCTTTAACCAGCCGGAGGAAATTGGATAATTTGTATGGAGGCAGACCCACTGCTTTGATGTTGTGTCAGGACAGCACTCTGCTGATACGGTTGAATATGGTCCCGACATAGGGAAGGAAGGCAATTGAGCCTGGTTATTGTTATTGTTATTGTCATTAGAAACAGTCTAAGATATTTTATATTTCAGAATTAATTTTTAATTAAAGTTATAAAAAGAAGGTACAGTAGTTTGGATTCAGTTTTTTCTCTTGCCACCAAAAATAAATGGGGTAAAAATAAATTATTTTACAACTTATAAGTAAAGTAAAGTAAAGTATTTATTTCGTCTCTATAGATCATTGTTACATGATATAAGACAAGTCAGTTACTATACATTGGCTGATTACAATAACAGAATAAAGTTACAATACTTAAAATTGATTAAAATAGTTAAGATTTCATATAGTGTGAGGTGGAATCCATATTAGGTCCCCTTGGCACGTTGACTTCCATATGTCCTATTGTACCTGTACTGGTGATAATATTTATGGAAAATTTTATGGAATGAGGATTGGCAGGGGAAACTGAAGTACTCGGGAAAACCTGCCCCAGCGTCACTTT